TATAGATACGGTCATGTTGATACCCTACATAGTAGTAGCCAAGTAGGGTTGATTCGTTATCATGCTGCACGCATGCATGCAGTGAGACACAGATATATAGATATGACTAAGCAGCGTACCCGCATGAAGTCAGAAGTCACCCCTCACAAGTCACAACTAAGATGAATATTTTCCCCGCGCTATCAACATTCTCCAACTATTACTATAACCAATTTCCCCCAATCCCAATTCTAATCCTAATCCCACCCCTACATACACATACACACACACATACCCCATCAAATACACACAATACACACACAAAATGTCCCCCCCAATCACACCCCCCACCTTCGCAACAACCCAACTCACCCTCCTCCGCGCCGAACAAACCGCCGAAATAACCTCCAACAACCTCTTCACCAGCAGCGCCATCACCACCGCGTCGCCATCCACCCGGCGCACACTCCAAGCAACGGGCCATGCCCTGACGGGTATTGTCCTCTCGCAATGTAGGACGGGGCTGGGGGGGAGGGTGGTGGGGGAGTTTGTTGCCGATGCGGCTGTTACTAATTCTTCTTCTACATCTACATCTACTAATTCTAAATCTGGTTCTGGTTCTAAGGGTGGTAATGGTGGTGCTGGTGGGGATGGGAAATTGAGGTTGGGTGCGCATGGGGTTAGGGTTGGGGATGTGGTTAAGGTTGTTGAGATTAGTTCTGGTTCTAGTTCTGGTTCTGGGGGTGGTGGTGGTAGTGGGAAGAAGGGGAAAGAGGGTAAAGATGGGAAAGGAGGAGGAGGTGGTGGTGGCGGTGTGGAAGGGGTTGTGACGAGGGTTGGGGAGAGTGCGGTTTGGGTTGCGTTTGGGGGGAAGGATGGTGGTAAAGGGGGAGGGAGTAAGGATGAGGATGGGGTGGAGGAGTTGTGGGGGAGGAAGGTTTGGATGTGAGTTCGTTTTCTTGCTACTTACTATCTTGTTTCTTTGGATATGCTGGTAGCAGAGTGGTGAGTGGAGTTGCTAATAGGGATAGGATCAAACTCGCCAATGATGTTACGTATAGACGGTATGTACTTATCCATTGATTCTACAAGCTATACTTATTGATGGATGTAGGATGAACCAGACTATGGAGAAAATGGTCAAAATGACCGACTCTGAGCATACTCATTTCATGCGAGTGGCCTTTGGTCAGACCTCGCCTATGTTGCCAGACTACGATTCTATCGGGCCTCTGGAGTTTACGGATCCTACGCTGAACGACTCCCAGAAGGAGGCCATTCGGTTTGCTCTGGCGGCGCGCGAGATTGCCCTCATTCATGGCCCGCCCGGGACCGGCAAGACCCACACGCTGATCGAGCTCATCGTGCAGATGGTGCAGCGCAAGCAGCGGGTGCTGGTCTGTGGTCCGTCGAACATCTCCGTCGACAACATCGTGGAGAGACTGGCGCCGAAGAAGGTCCCCGTGGTGCGCATCGGACATCCGGCGCGGTTGCTGCCGTCTGTTCTGGATCATTCATTGGAAGTGCTGACGCATACGTCGGAGGCGGCGGAGATTGTTCGCGACGTCCGCAAAGAGATCGACCAGAAGCAGGCAAGTATTCGAAAGACCAGGTCAGCGCGGGAGCGACGAACCATCTACGATGATCTGCGAGAACTGCGGCGCGAGTTCCGCGAGCGCGAGAACAAATGCGTGGAGAACCTGGTCCGCGAGAGCAGCGTGGTGCTGGCAACGCTGCATGGAGCAGGTGGCCACCAGCTGAAGAACCAAAAGTTCGATGTGGTCATCATCGATGAGGCGAGTCAGGCACTGGAGGCGCAGTGCTGGATACCGTTGCTGTCGGCATCCAAGGTGGTCCTGGCTGGTGATCACTTGCAGCTGCCGCCGACCGTCAAGTCGACCAAAGATGATGTCAAGAAGATGAAGGCCAAAGAAGAAGACAAGAAAGAAAACGGGGAGTTGCTGGACAATGTCTCGCTGGAGACGACTCTCTTCGACCGACTGTTGTCGATGCACGGGCCTGGAATCAAACGGATGCTCACGACGCAATACCGGATGCACGAGAAGATTATGCAATTTCCGTCGGACGAGTTGTATGACTCGAAATTGATGGCTGCAGACTCTGTCAAGGCTCGACTGCTGAAAGACCTACCTTACGAAGTGGAGGAGACGGATGACACCAAAGAGCCGCTGGTGTTCTGGGATACGCAAGGTGGTGATTTCCCTGAAAAGACCGAGGATGCGGATCTGGGCAAGAAGGCCCACCTGGGCGACAGTAAGAGCAACGACATGGAGGCTCTGGTGGTGAGCCGGCACGTCGATGCGCTGGTGGACGCAGGGATACACCCCGAAGACATTGCGGTGATCACACCGTACAACGGTCAGCTGGCCGTGTTGTCGCAGATGCTGCGGGAGAAATACCCCAGCATTGAGCTGGGCAGCGTCGATGGGTTCCAAGGGCGTGAAAAGGAAGCGGTGGTGGTGAGTCTGGTGCGCAGTAACAGCGAACACGAAGTGGGATTCTTAGGGGAACGGCGTCGTCTCAACGGTAAGATCCCTGCCAAGTGGCGAGGGTGCATGGACTGACAGCATTAGTGGCCATGACGCGGCCGAAACGGCATCTGTGCATCTGCGGTGACTCGGAGACGATTAGCAAGTGAGTGCCCCTCTCGTAGTCAGCATTTACTTTGTAGGCAAATTGTTGACGTCGACTGTTCTCCACAGGGGCAGTGGATTCCTTAAGCGATGGATGGGATTCCTGGAGGAGCATGCTGATTTGCGGTATCCGGATGCTGGCGATCTGTTGTGATCATACCTAGATAGACTAGCTACGAAGTACCCTCGGACGTTGCTTGGGCCATGAGTGTCACCGATGGGAGGTCCTGCAATCAGATGCAGTGTCGTGCAACGTCTGCACCGAACGGTCCCTTGCAGGAGAACAACAGACTCAACCAAACATACGCGCAAGGGATAGCATTGGAGGCAATTCAGACACGCGATGAAAGAATTGCCCAGAGAGTAAATGCTAATAGCATGGGCGCATTCCCCTGTCACGTCAACCATCCACATTCCATAGTTTAGATAGAAATCTAGATTGTCCATGTGGCTGCTCGATGGAATTCCGGGAACCCCTCCCTTGGAGACGCCAAAGAAGAGGGGAAGGGGGAGATCATGCGTCATGGCGTAGTAAAGTGTGCAGGATCTAGAATCCCACGAGCGGGACAGTCAGCCTTGCTTCTGTCCACCGCATAGATAGATACTTAAATAGACACTACTAGTGATTCGCTAATTGAAGGAATGAGGATTGTGTCCGACCGCGACCGAGGGAGACGGAGAAGGAGGGAGGGAGGGCCCGTCAGTGAAAAGCGAACGGTTCCGAGCGTCTGATGGGCCAACTTAATCGGTTGTGGACGGGAGCGGAGGGGGTTAGAGGGGGGGAGGGAGGCCACTTGGCGTGTTTCAGCATGGAGGATTGCCATCGTGGTCCAATGATGAGAGAAAAGAAAAGAGGAGTTGAAGCAGTGAGTGAGTGAGTGGGTGAGTGAGTTAGTGGAGGAGGGAAGAGTTGGGAATGGGGCCAAAGGAGTGAGGGAGGAACATTCAGTTGTGTGAGTGTGCATGGATGGTAAGTGATGAGTTGGCGCGGCACAGGTTGAAATTAAATTAACTCTTGCATATGCTGTATGCAGTAGTTAGTAGTAGAATGGAATATTACCCTTTCTTTATTACCCTGGGATATACCAGCAAGTAAATAGTAAAATAGTAGAATAGTAAATTAGTAAAAATAAAAACTAACTCAAACAATGGAATCTTCCTCAGCAATGAATCATCATATTTACTAGTTAGTCAGTAGTTAGTTAGTGGTGATAAAATAAATATTTTGGAACTAAAAATACACCCCCTGACACGCGCCGCGAGTGTTTCGAAATTCCACTCCGCTTCTTCTTCTTCTTCTCCATCCACCAGCAGCTCAGCTCCACTTTTTGGGATGCGCTTCTCTCTTTTAGTTCTCTTTCCTTCGTCTCTGCCTGCTGCTGCTGTCTGCTGCTGTCTGCTGTCTGCTTTTCCCCCGGTCTTCTCTTCCTCTTCTCTTGCAGCTTCCTTCCATTCCTTCGTCTCTTAATGCCAATTTGATTGATTACTGGTTGGGGTCCAACTCTATACTTCTTTGGTGATTCTCCCCCGATATTATTATTATCAGGGCAAATATTCCATTCCTTCTGTCTCCCTTCTCTCTCTCTGTCTCTCTCTCCTCCTTCTCTGCTTCTCTCTTCTTCACTCACTCACTCACTCCCACTCCTTCTCCATCGCCAATCCCGGGATATTCTTCCTGGATCCTCCCTGTTGGTTGTTTGATAAGCTCGACAACTTCCCGTATTCTGCTCCATCTTCGCCGATCCCGCCCGCTTCTTCTGAACTTCTGAGACTCTCTTCCCTGTTGCTCGTGTCGGGGACTAGTGAATCTTCGTCTCCAGTTGCCCCCAAACTCTTGAATTTCCCTCCCCCCCAATTCATGACTCTGTAGTGTCTCTCCCTATCACTTCGTCCATTTACTCTTATTTACTTTCCCTGCTATTATTACTCTATTTTATTTATTTTTATCTTACCACCTTCGTCTTCCCACTTTCTACTTCCTTTCTCCCTCTCCCTCCCCCTCCTGCTGACTCCTTGGCTTCATTCCTTCCGACACTCTATTCTATTTTCTTCCTTCCAACCTATCGATCATGATTTGAGCCCTCTTGCCAAGGTCAGCTTCCCCCTCTGACATCCATCCTTCCAAAGTGGATTCCCTGCTGATGCTGGTGCCCGCAGCCTCACTCCTTAGATTCCCACCCCCTCCGCTTTCAGCTGGTGGCTCTGCGCCTTGGCGTATATCCAATCGTTCCTTGTCCCTGTCTTCGTATCTGTCCTTACCGATCGCTTCGACTGTCTCCCCCCCCTTGCGCTCTTGTATGCCATTGGACCCGTCTGCAGCGTGCATGTTTCATGTGTTGTCTATCCCTCTAAAGCCCGAGTTCCGACATGTCTGGTGCCAGTACAAGTACCACGCGCAGTGACTCCGCCCACAGTCGCATAGCCGACTCTTCCACTTCGGACCCTGCAGCTGCAGACGCTTGCTTCGATACTGCATTACCGCCCATGAGTTCCAAACAGATGGTCGTCTCCACGCGTCGTCCACCTCGTGCTTCCGAATCCTCCCTGATCGCTACTAACCTCCGCAACACCAATCGCGCCGTCACTACCCTGCCATACAATCCCGGAACGACCACCATCGCTCGCGGGCCCAGCACACATCGTCGTACCGGCAGCACCCTCAAGACCGTCATGCGGAAGATCTTCACCCGCAAAAGTCGTGGGCAGGAGGACGACGATTCCGCTGATTGTCGGTTCGGCAACCACAGTCCGCGATCGAATCAATCGCTCGACAAGCCGCAGCCGCTCTCCGGTTCGTGGAACGCCAAATCCACCAGTCCGTTGCAACAGGAACACGGGCCCGTCACCTCGTGGGAAGAGGCCCTGCGCAAGCTCGAACCGCACCCCCGCCGCCGACGGGCCACTCTGCCGAGCTTGATCTTTTCGGACGACGAATCTCGCGGTGCCCTGGAGGCGGTCGTGCATTCGGGCCGACCGACCAGTAGACGGGACAACAGTCCGCACGCCAACAGTGATCCGGATGAGGTCCGCCGCCGAGAGATGCGCCAGATCAAGCGTCGCTCCCGCAGCGCGACCGCCCTGCGCGGTATGGCCAAAGATCACCTGATGTCTCCCATTCAATGGCGACGCCGCAGTCTGGAGTCGTGCGCCGGATCGACGACCTTTGGCGCGGTGTCCGAGGCCGATGCATCGGAACGACCCCCGACCCGGACCACGGTCGCCAGTGCCCCCAAACCCACGACGGAGCCGTCCTTCCTGGATGGGCCGGATGAGGACGATGAGGAAGACGCACCGGAGGAGCCGATGCCCCAAACCGTGGGAACGCTAGTCAACTCATTACAACACGATGAGAACGTGACGCTGGAACAGCGACTGACCACCTTGGAGGTAAAATTGATCGACTTGGAATGTGCGATCGCACGCATACAGTCTGGACGCAGTGAAACGCCGGCCGAGCCGTCGGGACAGAGGAAACCGTCACCCCCGACGACACGGCACAAGCGCAAGCAATCGTCGGCCCAGTCGCCGTCGGGTAGTGACGAGACCCCGGGCGCCAAGTCGCCCGGCGGCGCCGATCGCCCGTCTAGCACGAGCACACTGCGCCCGAACCATCTCCACCGCTCACGCACATTGCAGGCCCCGTCCTCCACGTCGCTGCACGAATGCAATACCATCTCCGTCGAACAGTACAGCGCACTGGTGATGCTGCTGCGTCGGGAGCAATCTGCGCGACGCAATCTCGAGGAACAGGTGTCCAGTCTGCGGAGCGATGTCGAGCAACTCACGCGCGTGGCACGCGAATCCATGGGCATGGGTCCGATTTATCCCATCCCAATTGACGCGCATGATATTATGCGCATGCGGCAGGCCCTGGGGCCGTCTCCGACCAACTCGGGACCGCCGACGGAAAAGATCTGCCCGGACAGTGATTCCGAGGAGCGCCCGGAGCTCCCTCCGAAGGGAGACTTGTACCATCCGCGGTGGCCGTCGGCGCGACGCGTCGAGGTTGGCGGGATGATATGATGCCAACATTCATTCTTACTCTTCTATTCCCCTTCTCACCCTCCCCCTTCTCCTCTCTAATGACCATATCTGCTTCATACCCTCATTGGTTATTTCTTTTTGAAAATGTTCTGCTTGTGGTTATGATATCCTGCATGAGATTGCGTGCATGAGTGATACTGTACATAGCAATTGCTTTCATCTACGGACAGGCTGCCGGGCTGCAGCAATAGACTTATAGATCAATTGAAGAAAAAAAGTCATAAATATACAATCACCCACTACGAAGAACATTAACAGTGAACAATTAAATCAATTAAGATATACTAAAACAGCTATACACGAAGCAACAACAACACCTGGATATCTACCCCGACAACCCAAACCAAGCAATGAAATAGGTGATATCCTAATCAACCTTCTTAACATCCTCCCCCTCCTCAAACCTCACCCTCTTCCCAAACAACACCGACCTCCCCAGCACCGAACCCAGCACAAAACCCACATACGCCCCAGTCAACAACGTAATCGGATACGCCTGCCACGGCCGGTCCCTACACAACACAGCAAACCATTAGCACATACATCCCCAAACCACCCCTCAAAGAAAAAAGAAGTACATACCAATCAAGCGGCACCGGCACGGCCCCAAGCCACGCACCCACACACGTCCCCAACGCCCCACCCCAAACAACATCCCCCGGCCTTTTAGCCCCCCACACCTCCTTCCACACACTCCCATCAACACCATGAACATACACCAATGCCAAAGACGAGAGAATAGCCATGTGCGCTGCGCAAAGCACCGTCTGGGCATGGTGAGTCGTGAACGGCGCGCCGAAGAGAATGAGGAGGATGCTGAGGACGGGGGTGGCGAGGAGGGTTGTCAGTGTTAAGGAGAGGAGTGAAGCCTATTCCATTTTCCCATGGTCGGTTAGTATGGTGGTTATATAGGGGGGTAAGGAATGGGGTGGGGATGGACGTACAACAACCCGTCCACGAATAGCCGATGCAGTCGAGGAAGAAGACGAAGACGAGTCCTTTGTGCGACGGCGGCCGACGCGGCCGGGACGGAGGATCACGTTTCCATTCGTTGTTGATCCAGTGGTAGTTCCTGTGGACGATGCGCTGGGGATAGTAGGGGTGGATGGGGATGTTGGTGTAGCTGCTGCTGCGGTGGTGGCAGAGTCGGAGGAGCCAGCGGCGGGAAGACAGATCATCACGTAGGCGACGTGCGCGAGAGCGAGGAAGGGCAATTGCTGGGCCATTTCGGAGACCGGGTCGTTGACCAGCGCGGGGAATCGCGCGGCGAAGGCGGAGAGGAGCGCTGCTGGGTGGATGTAGGAGTAGGTTGTTGCGAGTTGGGTCGGGAGGATGTTCACCGGGGGTGCGGCGGGTTTGTTGGAGGTGTCGGGCGGCGCGGAGGCGGCGCTGTTGGTTGTGAGGGGGGAGGGGGGTGGAGAGGCCATTTTGATGGAGGGGCGATGGGCCTAAGGGGGGAAGAGAGGGAAGGGAGGAGGAATTGGGGAGGTGGTGAGGTTGATTAGGAGCTGTGGAACGAAGAGATGCTTCGGAGGTGACGGAAGTGGAAGAAGAGGATTGGTTTTGTTTGGTTTGTTTGCATGGGTTACTCCGGGGTTGTGGGTGCCTTAGGTGTCAGGGGATGTTAAAGATCTACTTTGAATATAGTAGTTCTGCAAGTCGGAAAACTCTACTATTCTGCGGAGTGTCATGTACCGTACATAATCTACACCTATTTAAAACACATGGCACGCCATCCCACAAGCAATACATACATCATTCGTGACCCATAAGTGCATCAACGACAATCCTCATGGCAGCCTCAAGCCACCTGTGCGTGAATCATGTCGTCCATTTCCATATCCTAATCCACTTAACAAAAGGAAAATCAGAATTCTTCATCTATGAGGGCACAGCAGGCCCCGGTCCAGCGTCCGTTCCCTCCGTCTCTACTGGTGGAGAGGCAACGGGCACGGCCACAGGCTCCTGCTTCTGCTCTAAGCCAGGTACCGCAACAGGACTCTCTGGTGTCCGTGGTTCTTCAGGGATCGCCGGAGGCAGTCCTGAACCCGGCAGCGGAGAGACCGGTGAACTTATTTGTCCCTCTTTAGGATAGCTAGTCACGTCGATCGGAGCAGGTCGGTTTCGCAGACTATCCTTGCCAGATGGTGACAGCGTGTGACTCGACACCGACAGGTCGGCTTCTGAGTTTACAGGGCTTCGTGTCCGGTCCCGCTCGGTGGACTCCTTGACACCATCCCGCACCTGTGCAACCTTGGCTTTGAACTTGCCAAACAGGCTACGCTTCTCGGGTTCCACGAAAGAAGCGTCCTTGGAGACCCCGTTGTTACTGACTTCCGCATCCAGACTCAGGGGTTGATAGGACGGATCGCTAGCAAATTGCTGCAGATCCGAGGGCGAGCTTCTGCTCGAGTGATGCCAACTGCCAATCGAGCTGGTGCTTCGGTCGGCACCGGGTGTGGTGGCCATGAGCGGTGGCGACGCAAGTCCCAAGCCAATGTGCTCGTTGCTGCGTTTGGACGAGCGCGGGAACCGCCAGCTGCGGCGATGCTCCTTGCGCTCCGCTCGCGCCGCATCATCAGTAGGGTCAGCATCTGAGTAATCGGTGAACGATGACCGAGAGTTCATCGATGGAGTCCGTGAGCCATAAGGCCGCAGCGATGTGTCGCCCGCCTGCTGTCCACCTTCGTGCGGCAACAGCTGCTTCTCCGGCCTGCCTTCTCGTGGCGGGCTCAGATCATCGGAACTCGTAGTGTTAGGAGCTCGCGGCGTCGCTCCTCCAGCATCATTGTTGGCCTCCGCGTGTCGGGAAGCATGCAGAATCGCTGCCAATCCAGTATCAGATGTCGCAGCCTGCAGCGACTGAGACGAGCTTTGCGCACTTTCACTCGCGCTGCCAGGAATTCGCTTCTTCTTCAAGCGGTTCGGCTGTCGCGGCTCTTTATGCTCACCACTTGGTGGTGGTGACTTGGAGAACAGACTCGAAAGCTTGCGTTCCCGCGTCGGCGTCACCACCGCCGGCGGGGGTGAAGCAGCTATGGGTGGCAGTCCTTCCCGCAGGATAGGCCTGTCACCGACAAGCTTCTCTGTACTCCCCTGTTCAGGGTGTGGGATAGGCCTCTCTGCCATCAGCCTCTCCGCAATAGGCGCCTGAGCGGGCTTTTGAGCGATGGGCTGCTGAACAACTGGCCTTTCGATAGTCGGCTGTACAACAGCTGGCTTCTCCACACTGAGGTGTGCCGTAGGCTTCCCCGTATCGCCAACCCCATTCCCATTTTCAAGCGCACTCTTTGGTACGGGCCCGTGTGTGGACGAGTGAACATAGACAATCCCAGTCCCTGGCTCTACCACCTCTGTTATGGAGCCTTGACCATTTGTGGGTGGCGGAGTGCCCTGAGCAGCCTGGTTAGGTGCAGGGCTCACCCGAGCATTGGTCTGAGGTAACTCAGGTTGAGGTTGGAGCGCAGGCTGAGGTTGGGAGGCAATCTGGGTTTGGGGTGTAACCTGGGCTTCAGGAACCTGAGCCTGAGGCTGAGGAGCAACTTGGGGTTGAGGAGCAGGCTGAGTTTGGGGAGCCTGGGGCTGAGGTTGAGGAGCAATCTGGGGTTGAGGGGCAGGCTGAGTTTGAGGAGCAATTTGGGGTTGAGGAGCAGGCTGGGTTTGAGTAGGCTGGGGCTGAGGTTGAGGCTGAGGGGTGTCCTCAGCAGGCGCAGGCGCACGGCTGGACGCCCGCGAGTGTTGCGCAGACGTGTGTGCCGATGAGTTGACCCCTGTGTTCTCCACCGCTCGTCCATATCGTGATGGAGGAATCACGGGCGTCATCTTAGACGGCAAAGTATTGCTGCGATGTACCCCAACACCGCCCAATGAGGTCGGTGTTGCAGGGCTTGCAGCATTGGAGTTGCGCGAATTCTTCGATGAGACAGACACATTCCGGCGCAAACTTCCATACTTTCGGAAGCTCTCCGCACCGCCACTGGCACTCGACACCGAGCGTCGAACATTGGAATGAGTGGTGGGCCGACGGGCCAGACCTCCTTCGACCTCCTTGACCGTCTGCTCGTCGGCGGCGGTGCCGTTCATACCAAACAAAAAGTGGTCCTGGTTCTCAATCAGAAAAATGAGGACATCCTGACTCAACTTGTATTCGTCTGGAGACATGTCGTGCTGCGGATGCGACAACAATCCTGGTTGGAAGATGGCAGACAGATTGGCCGACGTCATGCGATTCTGATCCGACTTGGACGCAAAGACAGCCAGCAGGTCGAGAATGTAGAGCAACAGCTGTTTGTTCAACGGGGGCAGCTCGCGGATCAACTGCTGGTAAGCCGCGACCGCTTTAGCGTGGTCGAAGGCCTCCGTTTCCGCGGGCGGAGCGTTGTTCTGAATCTGTTCCTGGACCTGTCGTTGATACGTGCGTAGGGGTTCGCGAAATCGTTCGTAAAAGTCGAGCGGGACAATGGGTTCGGGCAGCTGGTTCAAATAGCGCCGAAGAACGTTCGCAGCATCATGCACAGTGTAGCCAGTCCAATCCAAGCCCTTTCCATACCGTTCGGGGGAGTCGAAGATTTCCTGAAGATCTTTGATGCGCTTTGCAGAGCCACTCAGACGGAAGATGCCCTCAACGTCGGTCGCTAGCGAGAAATACGTTAGCACCTATCTTATCGCACGGCCAGCATGGTCGATATACCTTTCTCTTTTAGATAAACTCCACATTTTGCGACCACGATGGGGACGTATCCGTAGATGAAGCTCTCGCCGTTGTCGTTGGTAAGGGAAATGGCGACGTTGGCGTACTTGATGCTGACGTTGAGGGGGATGCCGAATATACCCTGGGGTTTCTCTGCAGTTCATTAGCATGTGTTGAAAGTAGAGCCCATCAAACGCGACAATCAAGTAGCTAAGGAACTGCATGCTGCAAAAGGCGACTGGCGTCGATGCGATGGGATCCCACGGACGCCCCACGATCGCATCGCCGCCGAGCTTCCCCGCAGCGCAGCAAACCCAACCCAAGATCCTAGTATACCACCACACATACCTTTTGGTTCCTCCTTTCTGGTATTTCTCTTGAATTGTCTCCACCAGGAAGCCAAATCACGTTTCGACGGCGGCGAGGTTGCGATAGTCTCAGGGGGGCCAGCGGTGGGTGGAAGCCGGTGCAGGGGATCGACACCCGGGTGCGACTTGCCGGTGGTAACCATCGTGGGCAGTGCGCGATGAAAACGAGGGTTCCAGACGAGATGCGACGTGCCTGCGAAGGTATAGAAATATAGCGACCGGACCAGACCCTGCTAATCCGAGGCCTCCGTCACCGCCCTTGTTGTTGGCGCGAGAAATTCCGGGGCTGGGAGGCGTGATCCCAAAATAGCACGAGGACTAGTCAGGCAGCGGATTTTAAGTGCCGCGCCGTCCGAAACACGTACAGTAGCAGGGAACCGGTAAAACAGACACTGGGAATTTTTCCGACGGTGGAGAGAAGAGATGGAAGACAGCGAAGGGTGGACAACGCACGAAGGAGAAAGACAGGGGAGATAGGGAGGGGTGGAGTGAGAAATGAAAGGAGGTTAACAAGGGAACGCAGGAAGCCGGAGTAGATGTAGGAGAGAGGGGGGGGAAGATGGGGGCAGGCAGGCAGCGCTGGCAAGAACGAGACGAAGCAAGACAGAACACGAGCAAATCAACGAATGCCGGACTGTCCGTCAACGATGAACGGTTCGGGGGGAGAAGATGGTGGTGGTAAATGATGAGCAAAATAAGGGAGTCTAGCAATCAGGAATGAACCTCAGGCTGAGAGGCTGATTTGGGGCCCTCCGACAGGGCGGATGGGACTGTGGTTGCGTGGGTGAGCAGCAGCAGAGATGCTTCTTGGCTGGTCTGGGGGTGAAACCAATGACCATCATCTGAACCAAGGAAACGCCAGAGCTGCAGTCAGATCGATAGATACTTCGGAGAGTTGGTCGTTGTGGTTGTAGATGGTGACGATGGTGGTGATTGCTATGCGTGATGATGGGGGAGGTGGAGGATGAATGAAGATGATTGTGGAGGAGACAGGAGGAGAGACAGGAGGGAAATAATGGAAAGGATGGAGCAACCGCCGGACAACCAACCAGCCAAACTGCGTGACAACCGGACGAACAGGCTTGGAGGCGTGGTGCTGTAGGCGGGACCCAAAGGGGAAGACGGAGAGGTAAAAGAACAAGAAGAGAGGGAATGACCAGTTCAGTCACCAGTTCATCCACCAGTCAGACTATGTATCTCTTCCTCGCAGCACCAGAACGAGGGATCAGAAGTAAAGGAAGGAAGGAATGAATGAATCAATCCAAGATACGTAGTTAGAATAGAAATAGGATAGATGTGTCAATCAGAAGATGGGAACGAGAAGGGGGAGAAATGGGAAATTGAAAACACCCCCCGCCAAGCATGGAGATGGATTTGTTGCTCTCCTGGGAATTGAAGTTCTGGCAAGTGGCCCTGCTTGGGACCAGACCCCAGGGTTCCAGGGTTGATGGTTTGACCTCGACCAAACAGGTCCCTTTTTTTTGTGCCCTTTTTCCCTTTTTTCTTTACTTATTTTCTCCTGTTATTTTTTTTAAAAAATCCTTATTACGGAGTATTATCTACTAATTTTGCTTATTTTTAACCGCCATTTTCAATTCTTGTTTTTATTTCTTTTTTTCTTTTGGGACTCGGTTCCTTCTCTGCTTATTATTTTTCCAGGTCCGTCGGTTCTGGCCCTGGTTCTAGTCGACCCTCCGGCACACTAGCATGGGACACTAACTGGACCATTCTTCAATCATTCCGCTACGCTGGTTAGATTGCCCCAGTTCTAGCCAATTGCGTCAAGGCCCCTCTGAGACATGAGGCTATCCGGAGACCACACTCAAATGGACTCGCTCTCCATCCGGATAAGGACTCTCGAATGCAGAATACCCTCTCTCTCTCTCCCCTCTTTGCCGACCGGGGATCCCCTCACTGGATGTGTGAATGAATGAACCTTGTCTCCCTGTTGACTCACTGTCGCCTCCTCATGGCCGATCAGAAAACTATAAATTGAGAAGAGGAAAGATACTCTCCATTCCGCCAAGCTGCTACTACTACGTTTACAACAAGGTATATAGGCTGCCTGTCGACCCATCGGCTGCTCGTGGTTCTAGCTAAAAATATGGTCATGGACCCCCTGATGCAACCCTCACGGCGCTTCCCCTTGAGCAGCGATGCCGCACCATCAGGGTCTTACCGCGGTTCTCCAACCATCGACTGATGTGGCTGTCATCCCAAACGGCCCGAGAGAATGCTGACCCCGCGTCTAGTGGTTTAGTTCGGTCGTGGTGCGAGATTCGCTTGCCCGAACTAGTCCGTCAGCTGCCGATCTCAGGAGTGCAGTTCCAGGTGGCCACTCATCTATCTACAACAGCTTACCCACCAGGCTGTTGGGCTGGATCCCTCGCCAGGTTGATCGTAGGGCCGACTCTTCAGTAGCTCGACTTTGTACATACCGAATATAGGAATGTCCGATGTGATGGTGAAATGAGGGGAAGCTTATGCCATTGATTGAATCATCACATTCAATCTCAAACATCCAAGACTAAGCTTACTCTATGCACACATAACACATGGAATGTCCCCTGTTGGAGTGCGCGTGAGTCCCAAGACATGTATATACAGCTCTAGCTCAAGCGTGGTGTTAGATAAATGGGTCAATTTACGTAGGTATAAAAACAACAACCAACCAGAGATACTGCTATATGTTCACGACTATCATTGGAAGACAACATGCCCCTATCCGAGTGGCTGGTACCACATAATTTCTTGAAATAGGTGGCTTACTGGTCTGCTGATCTCGGTGGCACATCTTCCACGCAATCACCTACGGGACAGCAATATAGTTTTGTATACTGGGTCCGCTAGAAGTCAGCTAACAACTTGACCAGCTCCATTCCAACAACCGACCCGTGCAAGCTCTGAGCATGATACACCGCAAAAGCAATGAAATCACCCCGACCACGATCCCACTAAGCTCCGGAGTGGAATGTGGAATGGTTCTCCCCAGAACAAAACTTCCTAGATCCTTCGATCGAAGCCGGCTAAGACCTGTCGATTTTCTTAAAGAATCATCCAACAAGCACCAAAGGTGGCTCCTGCCCGAGTCATTGCGGTGGGAATCCAAAGAAGATCTTTGTCCTTCTGGGTTGCTTCTCGACTTCATGGACCTCCGGTTGTGGACGGCGAACCATGGTTCTGGCGAATGGAAGTCTGGGGCCAGCTGGCCGTTGTGCTTTTTTTAACTTGCCCAAAGAATGGAACAGCGCCAGCTAGATTGTCTTGCTGTTTGCCGTTTTGGGATCGCCCTCGGTTCTGGCACTGGATGAGTCAGCACAACCACCCGCGGTCCGGGTCCGGTCACCTGATCGGAGTTGAATTGCGCACGTGATCACATCAGAGCCTGCGGTCCGTTGAGCAGCTCCGGAGCTACGGTCGTCATCACGACCCAGGCCTCTTGTTATCAACACTACCCTTTTTGATCAACCTAGCTTCAGCCCAATCACATCACAATGGAATCGTAAGCAGCTCACTTTGCCATCCCTTCTATCTCAGGTTTCCCAGACATGTACTAACAAGTTCCAGCCTCAACGCCTCTGAGCAGCGTGAGCTCGCCTCTCGCATGGAGAGACGCCAGATGAAGGAATTCATGACCGTACGTGAGACCTGAGATAAACAGACATCCTTTTGCGTCGAACTCGAACCCAGCATACACACCGTCTATACCTCCCTGACCCATCCAATTCCTCCCTCCGTCTATCATCATCCATCATCCATCATCCATCTATATCATCCCTAGCTGGCCTTTTCAATTCTAATCTCATCTCCATAGATGTACTCCAAGCTCGTCCAGCGCTGCTTCGATGACTGCGTCAACGACTTCACCACCAAGTCCCTGATCAACCGCGAAGAGGGCTGTGTCCTGCGTTGTGTCGACAAGTTCATGAAGGGATCGGCTCGCCTGAACGAGCGGTTCCAGGAACAGAACCAGGCCATGATGATGCAGGGACAACAGCGGTAAATGGGAATTTAGCATGGGGTTCGGTTGCTTTGCTTTGCCTTGACTTTGGCGGTTTCTGTATAAAATATTAGAATTTTTGCAATGATGACATCCCCTAATGGCCGGCGATGGGCTCCGCTCGCTCTTGAGGAGCAGGTTTGGTTGCCGAGATCACAGTATGGAGGTATACTGTTGCTGCCGTGATTGTAATATATGGAATGAAATAGCATTGAGTAAACTGTGCTGTCTAGGGTGTTGGCTAGTTGTAGCATGTATCAGGCATATTGGACATTTCTTCAGTCATGAATGTAAAATAAGGATGATGAAAGTCATCGTTCTCAATATCTCCAACTCTTTTCTTTCTCCAACAGACGTGAGGGGATCTCTCCCCAAGAATACTTCTACAAAAGGTCTAGCTACGAGCCTTGATGTAAGTAGTGACTAGAGCTGTGTTGATACAACGAGAATCAAACTTACCCGATCGGGACGCCGACAGTCAGCCGTCGGGCCTCTTGGCGTGCACGGGCCAAGAGAACCGGAAAACATTACCTAACCGGGTTATGCCTGAGTCATCGCATCATCTGTCCCAATGGAGTCATTCTGTACGCCAGACGAGTGACTTAGTATCTAGTTATCTTTCTCTACTAGAGGGATATCAAAAGAATGGAGCTCCCTTACGTGCCCTTGAATGCATTGAGACTACTCTGGCGGAGATTGACCCTCCATGATAGATAACGCATCCAGTAGCTCCAGTCAAGGCCCACTACAAACTGACAATACCGGGACCGAACCCTGCCCGCCACCCTCATACACACTCATGCGGAGGTATGAGGGGATGAATGGTTAGTGTATGCGAGATAAATGATGCAAGACGGAGGAATTGATGGTATCGGGACGTGTACCCGAAACCCGGACATCTAGAATGTGCCCAGCAAACAGAGCAAAACAGAACAAAAAGGGAGTGCCCCTCACGGCGCCCCTCTTCTACCCCCCTCGTGCTCCCCTCATCGGCCAACTCCACCGTCTTTGCCGACCCGACCACTCTGCCAATTTATTGCTGGCTCAACCTCGAGCTTCATTCTTCCTCTTCTTTCATCCTTTTCTTCCCTTTTCTCATCCTTTTTATTCCCTTGATTCCCTCTTCCGGTTCCTTCCGGTTCAGTGATTGCCACCATCTTTGCCTGATTCATCATGGCCAGCACTGTCGGACAGGTGAGTTTGTTTGTACCAGCTTTAGCAATGACCAGCATTGACGTGTGTTTTGGCTAACTCTTCTAGACCATCACCTGCAAGGTAAGAAGCACTCGAACAGTCACCTCCACGATACAGTATGCCAACCAGTTTGTAGGCTGCCGTCGCCTGGGGCGCCGGAGAGCCTCTCTCCGTTGAGGACGTCGAAGTTGCTCCTCCCAAGGCCCACGAGGTCCGCATCCAGGTCCTCCACACTGGTGTCTGCCACACAGGTTGGTGATTTGAAACAGCGGGATTGAGCAAGGCTGACCGAGCCAGATGCCTACACTCTCTCCGGAAAGGACCCCGAAGGTGCTTTCCCCGTTGTTCTGGGTCACGAGGGTGCCGGTATCGTCGAGTCCGTCGGCGAGGGCGTCACCTCCGTGAAGCCCGGTGACTATGTCGTTGCTCTCTAGTAAGAAATACCTTTTGCAGTCGCAGACTGCGATTGCTAACGTTTCCAGCACCCCCGAGTGCCGTGAGTGCAAGTTCTGCAAGTCCGGCAAGACCAACCTCTGCGGTAAGATTCGTGCCACCCAGGGCAAGGGTGTGATGCCCGACGGCACCTCCCGTTTCAAGGCCCGCGGCAAGGACCTGCTGCACTTCATGGGCACCTCCACCTTCTCCCAGTACACCGTCGTGGCCGACATCTCCGTTGTCGCCGTGACCCCCAAGATCCCCACGGACCGTTCCTGCCTGCTTGGCTGTGGTATCACCACCGGTTACGGTGCGGCCGTTGTCACCGCCAAGGTGGAGGAGGGCTCCAACATTGCCGTCTTCGGTGCCGGCTGTGTCGGTCTCTCGGTCATCCAGGGTGCGGTGAAGAACAAGGCTGGCCGCATCATCGTGGTCGATGTCAACGACGGCAAGGAGGCGTGGGCCCGCAAGTTCGGTGCCACGGACTTTGTCAACCCCACCAAGCTGGGTGGCAAGACCATCCAGGAGCAGCTGATTGAGATGACGGACGGCGGTTGCGACTACACTTTCGACTGCACTGGTAACGTTGGTGTGATGCGGGCTGCCCTGGAGGCGTGCCACAAGGGATGGGGTGAGAGTATCATCATCGGTGTTGCTGCTGCTGGCCAGGAGATTTCCACTCGCCGTGAGTTTTTTCAATGTCTAAAATATGACGCGATGCTAACTGATTGCAGCATTCCAACTGGTCACTGGCCGTGTGTGGAAGGGATGCGCCTTTGGTGGTATCAAGGGCCGCACGCAGCTTCCGGGATTGGTTGACGACTACCTGAACGGACAGCTGAAGGTGGACGAGTTCATTACGCACCGCGAGAAGCTGTCTGAGATCAACAAGGCGTTTGAGCAGATGAAGGCGGGCGACTGCGTTCGCTGCGTTGTTGACCTGTCATGACCTGTTATAACCTGTCATAACCTGTCATAATGTACACTGATGATAATCAATGAAAAAATTACGAGTTAGCTGTGAACTATATATATATATGTAGCAGTGTCGAGGGTCTATATATAGGCAGTAGTCTCCAAGGTCCTCATTGTAGAATAGTAGGACCTTGTGGTTTACAATGCACAGCGTTGTCTGCAGCAAGTTAACACCACTGCAAGTACGGAGTACACGGGAAGACGAACGCGCTGATCAGAACCCCTCACCTCACTACTAGCCACCTACTTATCCTTAAATACAATACACTATATACTAAGACATCTCCACAACAGATACCCCCTATCTAATCAGTAAGTACCACTATCACTATCATATCACGATATCGGACACCATCCGCTACTAGTCAGCACCTACAACTAAGATAACTGTCAATCTTATCACCATCCCGATAATCACATCCAAAATTAGTAGTAAAATAATACCTATACTGCAGTACGGGCAACCTCCGAGCAAACAGACGCTTAAACTCGGTAATTAATGCCATCAGAAGAGGGGTAAATGAGTAGATCGGCTCCGGGATCGGATTGCTCCTTATATCAGTATCTACTATCTGCTAGTATGGCCGTGTATATATACTTCCGTTACCACCACCACTACCACCATCCACCATCTCACACATATTTACTCAACCCACTACTACCATTACTACTACCCTACTACTCCTATCAAAATGACCATCCAAACCGCAACCAAAGACCCCCTCACCCTCCCACCCCCCTTCAGCACCATCCCCCGCCACCAACTAACCTTCGGCCCATCCCCGATCCACGCCCTCCCACTAATCACCTCCGCCCTGTCCCCCCCAACACCTAATACCACCATCTACGCCAAACGCGACGACCTCTCCTCCCCCCTCGCCTCCGGCGGCGGGAACAAAACCCGCAAACTCGAATACCTCATCCCGGACGCCCTATCCCAAAACTCCACAACCCTAATCTCCATCGGCGGGATCCAATCCAACCACACGCGCCAAGTCGCCGCGGCCGCCACCGTGACAGGGCTAAAATGCCGAGTAATCCAAGAAGACTGGGTACCCTGGCACGACGCCCACTATTCCAAAGTGGGCAACATCCAGCTCTCGCGGCTCATGGGCGCAGACGTACGACTTGACCCGTCTGGATTCGGGATCGAGCATAAGAGTACTCTCAAGAAGTTGGAAGAGGAGTGTATCGCGAACGGGGAGAAGCCGTATTACATCCCGGCGGGAGCGTCGGATCATCCGTTGGGGGGGTTGGGGTTCGCGCGGTGGGCGTTTGAGGTGCGGGCGCAGGAGAAGGAGATGGGGGTGGAGTTTGGGACGGTGGTGGTTTGTGCGGTGACGGGGAGTACGATGGCCGGGATGGTGGCGGGGTTTAAGTTGTTGGAGAAGTTGGATAGGGAGAGTGGGAGTGGGAGGGGGAAGACGAGGGTGGTGGGGATTGATGCGAGTGCGAAGCCGAAGGAGACGAGGGAGCAGGTGTTGAGGATTGCGAGGGAGACGGCGGAGAGGATTGGATTGGGGAGGGAGGGGGTGAGTGAGGAGGATGTCGAGTTGTGGGAGGAGTGGCATGGGGGTGTTTATGGAGTGCCGGATAAGAGGACGTGGGAGGCGATTGAGTTTGCGGCGAAGACGGAGGCGTTTATTACGGATCCGGTGTATGAGGGGAAGAGTTTTGCGGGGATGATGGATTTGGTGAAGAGGGGGGAGATTCAGGGGAATATCCTGTTTGCGCATTTGGGGGGACAGTTGGCGTTGAATGCGTATTCGGATTTGGGGAAGACGCAGTAGATACTCTTACGGGGTCAGATATACGAGTGGTGATATACGGATGACAGTGATAACAAGAAAGTATGAGAAGGATAGTACGAATGGTACTTATTGATATTCAAAGAGTGACTGTAGTTGGCTAACAATGGTAAAGGTGGTCAACGCCTAGCATAACGGCTAAGCACGTACTAGATTCGTCTAGAACAGCTTGTGCTCCAGAGTCATCTCCGATTCAGGCTGCAGTCCAACACACGCCCGGAAGATGTTGGTCAGGGCACTGCGCTGCTTGGTCAGCGAGTTGACCACCGGAGTACCAGGAGGAGTCAGAGGAGCCTTGAGCATGTAGCTCAGCACGCTGAGCACGCTGTGGAAGCCCTTGTACTCGGCCGCCTCGTCCGCCTTCCAGCTGATACGAGTCATCATCTCGGCAATCAGCACCAGGTCAATGATCAAGGGCGACGCCAGCAGAGAGTCCTCGCAGATGTTGAACAGACTGATCGTCTGGTGGCCACCCATGAAGATCTCCGCGTAGTACTCGTCGAGCGCGCGCTTGTTGTCGCCCACCGCAGGCATGTACTTGATCACCACGGTGTGGTCGGGGTGCTCGTCCTTGGCGTAGAGGATCTGGTTGGCCGCGACCATGTCGTCCACCACGTTGGACTTGGAGATCTCCTTGGACCGGAACTGCTTTTGGGAGCTCAAGTTCTTGCCGTCGTTGTTACCCAAGTGGTTGTAGCTGGCAATCGAGGTGAGCTTGATACCAGCGTTGATCAAGAAGTCAACCAGAGCCGACTTCATCTTGGTCTGGCCCGACTTAAAGTCGTCTCCGCCAATGAAGGCCTTGTGCTGCTCAGCCAACTGGATCGCACCAGGGACGAAGGTGTTCTGGGGAGAGCCGTTGATGAAGGGAACCTTGTCCAAGATACAGGCCACCGCAAAGACAGTGGACGGGGACACCTCCAAGTGGCTGGTCTTGATAGCGTTGAGCAGGTTGTCGGCCGTGTCATTGACGCCAGGCAGAATGTCGGCGTAACGCTCGGTGTTGGCAGTCCACATCACGATGACCTTGTCGAGGCCGTTCTGCGCCTTGAAGTCGCTGTTTCGGTTAGTGAGGAAGCAACAATTACACCACAGCAAACTCACCGAATGTCCTGCTGGATCTTCTCAACGTGAGCCCAGCATGCCTTAGAGCCCTCGAGCACATTGTCGGCCCGGTCCTCCTGGTTGGCAGCGATAAAGTCCGGGTAGTAGATACTAGGCAGGGGCTTCATCTCGGCCATCTCCTTACGAACCTGCTGCTTGAGGGTAGGCTCCAGAACCTGAGCACGGTCCATGGAATCGGCAAGGTTCATGCTGCTAATGTCCCAACCACCAATAGCGAGATCATTGGGGTGGACCATGGGCAGCATGTCGTGGAAAGGAATGTTGATCTCCTCACCGGTCTTGGCGTCAGTACCGAGCTTGATGGTGGAACCCATGACCACAGAGCCGTAGTAGTTGGAGGCGCGCATGCCCTCGCGGGTCTCCCATTCAAGACCCCGGCGGTTGGCAAGAAGACCTGCGGTCACGGTGGAACCATTGTTACCACCCCAGCCGACCATCATGACACCCACCTTGCCCACCTTGCGGTCGACCTTGAAGTGGTAGTTGGTGGCCTTGGGAGTGGCAACGAGCTTGTTGTCGGCAGTGCGGGTGATATCAGTGGTATGGTAAGCATACTGGCTTCTGATTTCATTGTCGGTGTACACGACGTTGGGCGAGTTGACGGTAAACAAAGGAGCGTTGGCACGAGCGGACCCGTTCACGGCGCCATTGGCAGCAACATCCGAGCTTGCGTGGGGAGCCATTGTTCACAGTTGACGATTGGCGTGCGAGATAGATAATACGGGTGTTCAAACTGCGAGTTGTTTACTGGACGTATAATGCGTAGTCCGGTGCCCCACCACGGTTGGATGAGCGCCGGCCGTTGAACGGGTGGTGCCGCCTGGAGAAAAGTAGACAGATTAGCCATGAGAGGTCTCTGGAAGGTGGCATTTCTTGAGGGAAGGTCCAATTGCTGTTCTTGGAGTATTGGGGGTATTGGGATAGGGGCAGCCATCACCGGGAGATCGCGGAGAATGGTGGGGAACTTACGAGTTAAGAAGTGTGGCGAAAATTTTGACGGTTTTTATCAGACCACGCCTCAGAGAGTGTGATCGAAGATTGAATTGAACGACTTGAAGACGATTGCTAACGAACTGAAGCTTTTGATGGGTGGTAGAAGGAGAAAGGGTCGAGGGAAGCGAGGAGGGAACGGTACTTATACGGCGGGTCACGTTGCTGACCGTATCCGGATCCAAACTGCTCCGCACCCCCAACCAGCTCAACAGTGCACTAGCCCGCCTTCCTGGCAAATGACAGGCTTCAGGGACTGTCTAGCGAGATGTTGACTTCCGAGTGCCGGCGTAAAAGCGTAAAAGGTCAACCACGTCCAGCGCATCCCACAAATGACAATTGCGGTGAGCAGATCGTGTCCATGTCTGTGTCCATTTCTCCCGGGCACTCATGAGTATGACTGGTGAATGAGAGGCTAGAAAGTGCGACAGAGTGAATGTGGCTTACGGACCGTGACTTTTCAGTACATTGAATCTATTCCCTTCCGGCTCAAAATGGCCATTCCGCCATACAAATCTGCTATAATCTGGCAGTATCTCGATAACCCCCCGCTCTGCCGTTCCCGGCATTGGCCTGCCGCTAGCCCATGAACGGCGAGATAGGATTGTGGGTGCCATAATTCCCAGGAGAGAGCAAGCAGCGGTGTCCCATCTTTGGGACAAAGACAAACTTGAACTCAGGACAGGCAATGGACTCCCCAGGCTGGGGACGGAATGTGGCCTGGGCTCCATCCATCATCGATAGTGGGTCGTTTAGGCAGTGGGAGTCGCGGGGCTCCGCCCGCGAATCGCGATAATGGCAGTTCATTGCCGACGCTGACACCAGACTAGAGCTGAAATTGGTGCGAGTTCATAATACAGAATGTATGCCAAAAGGTACTTCATGGGTGAGGAATAGTCACAAATTGTAATTCGTCAGTACAAGTTGGAATTGCTGCTGGCACGAAGCTCGACAAGAAGCTCTCGTGATGTGCGGGCAGGGGAGCAGCGGAGAGCTCGGCAGACGAGCCGTGGTAGAATCACGACCCCTGGACTATCCATCGGTAATGCGTGCATAACGGCCCAACAGGACTGCTGCCTGGATTGTGAAAGGGGGACTAGCTAATAGCTATACGTGCTCGTCTCCACCATGTGCTGTGTGTGTGGTGTTCCAATGACTGTGTGTAATTTAGTAGGGTTCAAGCTAAGCACACCAATCATGATGCTCTCCTGCAACGCTGCCGTTTACACAATCATGTGATAGCGCCCGCTGCAAGGTCCTCAGGCAACACGGCACCGATAGGATAGGAATGCAGCCTCAGGCTGACAATCGGCCGTGGGATTGGCGGAGGGCGGGAAACATTCGGGCAGAGATTCGGCTAGACCTTCGGCAAGCAAAACTAACCGACTCAGACGCCATGGGCTGACGACGAGCGACTGCGACTCAGTGTCAGACAGTGAGAGATCCGCTTGACGCGCAGAATATATAGTCAGACCATGTTAGATCCATCACCAGAAGCGGTTCCATTGAAAGGTTTTGCGTTTAGAATATAGTGCTTTGTACGGAGTAGAGCTTGCGCGGAGCATTGCACCAGTACACCGTACACACTACGGAGTACACAGTCCTACAACTACTAGAGGGATATTGTCCGCCAATCGGACTCGAAACAGCAGCCGTGCATATTCCGTAGGCAGGTACCCATGGACTGTCGTCAGCCAGATCATGAGATCGATCCTCCACTACGCACAAAGCATGCCATCGTTGTTCACAATCCTTAGGTATCCTACTCGATCTTGAGAGCACTGCGCGTCGCCGACTGCCGGGTACTATTGGGGCCGAACCATGGTACGGAGGTCACCGGTTCCTGGACTCTACTCAGCTAAGAATCAGCTGGAAGGTTTCGATCTGCATCACCCGGACAATGGTCCACCAAGATGCGTGAGGGCAGTCGAGCAGTTACGACGACGCCCTTGGGACCGGCCGTCTGTTCTCGAAATTCGGACAGTTTCTAAACATATATCTGCCAGTTGTGACAGGCCATCGGTTTCCCAGATCGTCGGGTCCAACCAAGGAATGACAGCGTATATACACTCTGTTAAACTGGGCCCCTTGCTTCCTGCTTAAGCTTCCGGAATATACTTTGGAGTTGGAGATGGGGTAGATGCAAATCACATCTGCTTGCGGGGTTCCTGGTTGGGGTGATAGTCCATCCTCATCTTGAGCGTTAAGATTGGGATAACAGCATGAGATGTCACTTCTGGGGGCCTGTGCTGGGTCTCCTCAAAGGTAAAGGGCAATCGATGCTGCTAGAAACGGAACACTCCATATAGGGGGAAGTAATAGGGGAAGATTATTGGTGTAGACCTCCAACCGATAGACGAGGCTCGTGCGTCTTCATTTGGAGGCCTGCAAGTCCAGTCACAGAAGGATACACCTCCGTGCTGGAGGTGACGGACGGACAACACCATGAAAAGACATATTGAGCTAGACTAGTTGCCATTCCACTTGCCAAGTTAGACTGGGGGAGGACGGGAGAATCGTTGTTAGTCACGGGGGGCGGGTTGCCCCTGAAGGATGATCTGCGGTGGATGATGGTTCAGGGGCTAAAATGCCTGGGAGGCAACACTATCGTCTGGAAGGTCAAGAAATCGGCCATTGTTGCAAACTGATTGGGGATGTGGGAAAGGGGTAGATAAAAATAAATGAGAGTCAAACCGATATTGAGTGTGAACACGAAAATTAAGAGGCTTGACCGGGAGGTTCGGAGAGAAAGTAGGGTAGAAAGGAGAGTAAAGTATGGGATGCGACCGGAGTAACTCTCGGTCAGTGAGTGTACAGTACACACCGTAGATGGCCTATCCAAAGGAATCACCCGTCGATAGTCATGGAATAATTATCCTGAAGACACATAATCGGAAAGCAAATCAGCCTCACTACAGGTTTCTTCTGTGAGTAAGAATTCATGCCAATCGCTGACCTGACACCAAAGAAGAATGTGTTCCGACCCGCGGCGAGCTGCAGCCAGAGCCCTTCTAGTCTAGTCTAGGAGTGTTGTCAAGGAGAGAGACATGGAAGTGGTGCTAAAGCAACAACGCGTGTTGGCTGGACGGGCACAGGGCCAATCAGGGGGAAACATTGCGGGAAGGGTTCGTGGATCGCCCCAAACTTCCAACTTTCTCACTGCGAACACACGAGGAAGTTCTCTAAGAGTCCCACCCAACTAGAATCGGTCTTTTCTGCATCCCAGACGGGCTAACTATCCACCCACTGGACACACACACTACACTGGCAACCAAGCTAGTCTAGTCTAGTTGTTTAGTGTTCTTTCCCCCCCAGCCAAGAGTTTACTACTAGTATTAGTATTAGTATTTTGGATGGGCCCTTCCCACTCCCCCCCCCAGTCAACAATGGTTGGTGCTTGTGCTTTCTCCCTTCACTCTTTTCAGTTCCGACATCCATGCGTCTCTAACCCAACTCCTTCTGGCTCCATCCAGATCGTCCTGTCGCGTCGTGTCGTGCCCTTGACATCTGGGGATGAAATTGTTCCCCTCATGCGAGGAGTCCTGCACTGCATAGATTCACACGACCCTTAAAGCACGCGCCCGGTGTGGCCTGGACGAGCCACTTTCTACCCCTTCCCCTCACACAACCCCCCTCCACCCGCTCATTCCAATGAGCCAGTGACTGGTGGATATCTCTTCGCTATTGTAGACTGTCGCCGTTGCCCAGCATGGCATCCATCATGGAGGGGGGCCTACTGCCCATGATTAAATGCTCCAATTGTGGAATGAGCGTGGAAATCTCCTCCATGGGCGATCATGTGTGCGTTAAACCAATGCCAGGTAAATACTTATTCTTTCTCCCCAATCGTTCTCGACTTCAGCTATGCTGTCCACCGTTGGAATGCAATGTGTTGACCAGTCCCTTGCAGCGACTCCTTCGCCCTCTCAATCCCCTCCGCCGCCCCCGCCCAAATCAGACAATGTGTTACCCTCCAGAACTCCCAGCGATGCCTGGGCCTCCAAGTCTGGAAGGTCCGGCCCTCCGCCTCGCATTGACCCTGCAATGGCCAGTATGTTTATTTGGATACCACGCGAGCCTGCGCCATCCATATATTAGAGTTATGCGTCTCATGCAGTTAACACCGGCCTTCCAGATCGTCCCTTCCTGAACCCCGCAAGCCCAATCGCCAACCACGACCCGTTGGTCCCCTCCCCTCTTTCAACGTCTTCAGGTCAGCGATCGCCGTTCAGAGCGCTCCAGCGCAGCCAGACCTCTCCGTTGCCCGACGAACCGCAATCTCCGGATTCGATCAACCTGGAAACCGCGTTTGCGACTTTCCCCTTACCCCGTTCCATGTCGGACAGACGCCCGGGTGGTATGTCGAACGCAAAGGATCTCAGGTCAGCACCACCAATGCCATCGGCTCGATTGGCACCTGCATTGGACGGAAATGCGCTGGATGACGATATGCCTCCGCCACCGCTCCCGAAAGATGATACTCCGGCGACGGCCATGGGTGTTGGGCATAGACATGGCGCTTCGATAGACAGCAAAAGCAGCTACCGGACATCGCTGGCAAGCACACGGTATGGTGACAATAGGAATTCCAAGCGGTCGACTGCCATGTCGAGCCGCCGGCCTTCGTTTGGAAGCGTCGCGCGCGATCCGTACAAGTTCGTGGATGATGCTCCCCCGGTTCCGTCTGCTGCACCGCAACAACTGCTGCGCCCCTCCAGGATTTCGGACACCTCGGTAGCCGGAGTCGCAGACAAGCGTGAAGGCAGGGGTGAAATATACAGTGGCTTCGATTTCGGGGTGTCGGAACGGCCGACGAGCGCCAAGGCTGAGATTGACCATGTCAATGCGAGCGCACTCCGAGTCTCATCGCATACCAACAGCAACTCCGATCGTCTGAGCAGCAACCGCGGCTCAGCAGAGTTGTTCTTCCAAAGCCCGTCCCAGAGTTCCTATGGACCCCCGCTCGACTTTGAGCTACCCAACGAGCCGCTGGCTTCGCCTGCGACCCCGGCCAACGGGGAGTACAAGGCCTTCAAGCCACAAAGCTCTGAATTTCTCCAACCAGCAGACGCTGAATCTGGTCGCACCAACGAGCGGGATACCAACCAGAGGAAGGATTCTGATTCCGCTAGCGAGGGAAACAACTCCGTCTCCAACTTCGCACGAGCATTGGGACTAGAGGTCGACCACACCGCGAATGATTCAATCACCTCGTCAGATTCCTCGCCGTCCGACACCACCCGGAGTGGAACGTCTCTATCTAGTCTGCCATCGGAAGCCAGCATGTCCCGACGGAAACCCTCAGACCAGGGTCGTCTGGGCGCTGTTGTGGAGGAGGAGAAGAAGAAGTCTCAGCAGCCTGTGTTGGACGAACCGGTCCTCGAAAGTCCGA